ATTTTTCTGAAATTCAGAATCAGTCAAATCTGCACTACCAGTCTGATAGTGCAGATTTGAGCGTAGCGTCCATTTACGACCATCCGCCTTAGCATACAACTGAAATCAGCAAAAAAAATTGTGTCCTGAAAGCATATTTCATCATTGAATCGGGATGATTGACAAATCTTTCCCATTATATTATATTGGTGTCTTTGCCCGTCTGGGTAGACATTTCGCCCTTTTTTTGAATCTCTGTTTTAACTTTTTTTTTTTCTTTTTCCCGTAAACACTGTACTCTACTGCTAACACTAGGGATGTGTATTATTGCATTTTCCTTCTTATTTATTTACTGAAAATATCATGCGGAAAAAAGCAGGAAATGGCATTTCTGAGCCTCTAAAATTAAAAATTGTTCTGGTGGAGCATACCTCTATAAGAACCCCATAGTTTGGAGTGCTTTCGGCGGTCTAACCTTTTTCCCCGTTTGTACACCTCCAAAATCTCATGTCCCTGGATATGTTAAGGTTAGGAAAAATCAATACAAGAGACGCTTTTAGGGACCGGTAAATAATTGGCTAGGGAGGGGGAGGAGCTGGTGCATCAGTGAGTATACCATGTTTGGTTTTTCATGACCCCCTTACCCTGTAAGACACATTCAAGCTCCTCTAAACGTGCAAGCTCCTCTAAACGTTTTCCAGAGAAAAAACGGAGACTAAGCAGTCATTATTATACCCATTCAGGATTGTCATACTTTTTGGAGAAGCTAATCAGCTACGTAGCTGTCATTCATGTAACGCTAACAACTTGTTCGAGGAGTTAGCTTTAAAAGTAAATTTAATGACAGGATATAAATTACCATCCCTTTGCATGCAATTTTTTCAGAGGCCCTGCGAAAATTGTAATCCAAAATAAACCTGACAAAATCAAATCGAACCAGAAAAACGACCAAAGTAATAGACAAAAAAAAATCTTAGCCTTCAGGGAATCAATAAAATAGCATTGGTTACGTAACAAGATGAAATCATTCATGGGAATGCTAGGGAAAGAATCGCTTCACAAAAAGAAAGCATTTAGCAAAAGCAAGAATCATTTAACAGCTTCCAAAGTAATAGTACTTGAGAGGGAATCTTTAAGGGTCCCTCAAAAACATACAAGTTCATTCTTACAGTGGATTACGTAACCAGTTCAAGTGATCACCGCTTTTTTAAGATCTCTATAGCAAAGATAATGAGTCTGACTGAAGTTGAGTTTTGTTCCAGTTACTTAGGATGGACTGGTAATGCCTTGAAAGGGTCTGGTTGATTAATCTGGATAGCTTGCTTGTTTAACCACTCACTGTAAAAGTCTTGAAACTACGTCGCTGGGGTAGTGGTGAAAAATTAAAAAAAACGTTTATGGTCAAGCACTAGGCCTTCCTCGAAGCGAATGACGAGGCGCTACATTGCCCCCAATTTATTTTATCTCCTAATTAATGAAACAGGATTTATGTATTTTATCATTGCACCGTCCTCGACCTTCTCGTTACGCCACAGGACGGGAGAGGAAAGAAGACGGCAACCTTGTGTGACAAGCGTGACAATAATTTTGTTTGAAACAAAATTTCCCCAAACTTCACTTTCCTTTAAACAGATCTTTTTGCAAAAGACCAGAAACCCTTAAGGTTAAGTGAAGATCACGACAAAACATGCAAGTAACAGCCCTGTCAGGTTTGTCACATGCAAACGTTTTGCTGTCCTCTTCTTCCTGCCGTCCGGTTGCGTAAACTCACTATTAGCATCAACTGCGTTTTTCTTAGCATATTCAGTTCAAAGCCCTTGTCTTTCGACATTCCTGTGAGTGGTTAGTGTGTGTTTTGTGCAGTTTGAGGGCGGATTTATTAAAAGCAGAATAAAAAAACCTCGTTAACTTTAAATGGATATTTTTCATCAATGCATTTTTTCTTAACTCTTCTTACCTTTTCTTTAGATTCCTCCAAGCGGCAATCCCTGCGCCAAAACAAATCTAGCAGAACACATTAACAATGTTAGGACTATTGTTATGCTCTTTCACAGTATGGAATTTACGAGGTCAGTGAGCAGCTTCCAACTATAAATACCTCGGAAATTTATTTTCTAGAATAACCGTAATAACTGTTTACCTTTTCTGAGACAAAGTAGAAACTTAGCATGAACTGTTAACATAAACGTGTCTAAGAAACATTGATTAAAATTTAATAAGCTTACACTAATTTAATTGAATCAAAATCTAGGTTTTTGGTCCGCTTCTTCTTTATGAAATTTTTGCTTGTGGAATCCGGAATCCTGGGCTTTGGAAACCGGAATACAGTTTAAGGAGTCCAGTCCCCCTAAAAGTTGGAATCCGGAATCCAAGTTCCACTGACAAACAATCCGGAATCCATGCCGTGGAATCCAGAATCCAAGACTGTCTTGGATTTCCTTACATGGGGTGAAGCTCACTTACCATGGTCCCCGCAGTACCTCGACTGGCAGAAGTCAAGTGGTACCAACTTATAGACATGCGGCGCGCTGGCTTTGCAGCGGTGAGTCTGAGGACAGTTTTCTGACGTAGATGTCCCAGCTAGACCAATAAACCGATACCACTGATTTACGATTTCCGAGTCACAAGTTAGATTACCGTCCACATTCCCGTAACCGATGTACCTATCTGGTTTGCTCAGTTCAGTGTAATCGGTACATGGATCGGCAAGTTAAACGCAAGAAAGGTTTTCTTTCCGTCAAGAAAAGCAATAAGATCTAGCCGAGAGCAGTTAAACAATACATGTTCAATCATCGCATTTGTTCACTTTTTCGATCACAAATTTATGTTATGACTTAGTGTTGCTTTTGGGCGCTTTCCATTTGTCAGAACTGACCGGCCGACCGACCGTTCCCGCCTCAATAATATTATACTGTAAATCAAAACTTTCCGGCAAAATCAGTCAAATCCTAAATTTATGCAGGAAGCAGATGATTTTTCATTAAACCCTCCTGGAAAAAGCCCATTTCATTGTCAAACTGACTGGCCGGGCAATGGTCCGGCCAGCCAGTTCTGACAAATGGAAAGCGCCCTTGTATAAAGGGGTATCAGGGTCAAAATTCGGTTCCTAATAGGGACAGGCACAGCGAAAGGCCAGCTCAACGTATTTAGGACTGGCACAGCGTATTTAGGCCAGGCACAGCCTATCGAGCACAGGCAAAGCGTATCGAGGACAAGCACAGGCTATTTAGGGCAGGCACAGCGTATTGAGGACGGGCACAGCGTATTGAGCACAGGCACAAAGTATTGAAGACAAGCACAGGGTATCGAGAACAGGCACGGCGTATTTAGGACAAGCACGGCCTATCGAGGACAGGCACAGCCTATCGAGCACGGGCAAAGCGTATCGAGGACAAGCACAGGGTATTTAAGACGGCCACAGCGTATTGAGCACAGGCACACCGTATTGAAGACAAGCACAGGGTATCGAGGACAGGTACGGCGTATTTATTACAAGCACAGCCTATGGAGGACAGGAACAGCCTTTCGAGCACAAGCAAAGCGTACCCAGAACAAGCACAGGGTATTCAGGACAGGCACAGCGTATCGTGCACAGGCAGCGCGTATTAAAGACAAGCACAGGGTATCGAGAACCGGCACAGCGTATTGAGGACAAGCACAGCGTATCGAGGACAGGCACAGCGTATCGTAAACAGGCACAGCAACTACAGAGCCCGAAATACTGTTCTTCTACTGTACATCGAGCACTGTCTCCTTTTCGGGAGCTTTTCTGGAGTTGTGCAACACCCAGTGTCCGCATTGTTTTCAGCTTATAAAATGAACCATCTTAAAAGCAAACTGCAGGAGATAAAATACCATATGGACGACAGTATCTGTGCTATGTCTTCAACTCCCGGCACGTCAGCCGCTGGAGCAGCACGTTCAGTTGCACAGGGCCAACAAGGCAATTCCTCAAAGACCGAGACGGTTTCGTTTGCTACTCGAGCAGCCGACAACTTCAGGTATCTCAGTGTTTTTTTTTATTTTCTACTTTGTTTTTTCTTTTGTTTTCTTTATATTTGCAAAATAAAAGTAAGCTTACCTTGTAGTCGCTGTGTTGAAGTTTGACTTCCTATCGAAATGGAACTAGGCTTGTCACTGTCAGCCTGGCCCCGGTTGTTCAAACGTTGGATAGCGCTATCCACCAGGTCTCAGTTGTTCAAAAGGTGGATAACGCTATCCACCGGATAAATTACTATCCACTGGATAGCGCAATTGGTTTCCCTGACACTTATCTGTTGGATAGCGATTTATCCGGTGGATAGCACTATCCAACGTTTGAACAACTGGGGCCAGATAAATCACTATCCAGCGGAGATCGTAATTGATTTCCGTAATACTTTTCTGCTGGATAGTGCTCGGTCGCAAAACAAGCACACAAGCATTTTTTCCTGGATGCCTAGAATAAACAATGAACAGGCCATTCCACTGTGGCATTTTTAGAAGTGGTCCTTCACTGTTGATTTCTTTGAGTCATTTTCTTTATAATTATTGCATGCCTCAAAAATTGTGAGTCATGCTACTCTGCTTACTTATTCTGTCTTTTACAATTACCCAGTGCCTGGATCCAGACCTTGAGATAAGGGGAAGGACCGGTCAGCAAAAAAAATTTTTTCGGCCCTTAGGGCCTCAGTTTGGTCTAAAAATAAGGGGGGAACTCGGGCCCTTCCCCTGGAGGAGAGTCGCGTAAGGCTCCCGTTTCCAAGCGCTGGTAAGCGTCCCCTCCCCCTCCCTCTTCCCCTTCCCCACCCCAACTTAGAAAACGGCTCTGCAGTCCCCTAGGTAGCGTAGTGAATAACTGTAGTTCTTACCGGTTTATACAAACGCGAGTCGATTGGTGGCATTTTCATCCTCTGGATTTTTTTTCCTTTTTTTGTTTTTTTTAAGAATCACGAATACCAGAATTTTTGAGTACGGTAAGACAACATCATAGCAGGGAACATTAAAACAAGAAAAAAACCTAAAATACTGCTAGCTTCATTCTAGCCATCATGATTGGCCACTAACTGGAGGAGGTTGAGAAACTCAGTTTCCTCCAGTTCATTATCATCAGTCATCTTTTCTGCTTTTCCAGTGAGAGCAGAGAGTCGTTTCTCGACCATTTTAAGTCTGTCTTCTGTACACTTGATTATACTTTTAGAGTTTAAACAGTTAGGCTCCGCCTCTGACTGGCACATGTTGAAATACGTTGCTTCGTCGCAATATAGCTTGAATTCTGGTCGCTTCCTGTTGCCTTTTAACATTTCTTCAAATCTTTCCGAAATAAAGCGCGCTATTTCAAGTTCTTCAGCACTTTCCTCCACGTATGTTTTAGCATCGATGTATGACTCGTTAAGAATCGAAACTAACATATTCATAAGGACAACTGTCATTATTGTCATGTATATGAAAACGAATAAGGGTCCAAGAATTTGGTGTTCACGTCTTAAATCATCAAGTGGGACAGCTTTTCCCAGAAGGAATTCAAACTGAGAAATCACTGCTTGCAAATAACTAGAGTATTCAAGGACAGTGTGACCAAAAAATTGTTTTCCTGATATAATAAACCCATTAAACAATATCAGGAAAATAAAAACGTAAGACAGCTGATAGCCTACCGACTGACGGAAGGATGAAAACAAGTAGATTACATAAGGATTAAATCGAATCAGATTTAAAAGTTTAAGTGTTACCATAAAAATAGCACAGGCATTAGCAACATTTTCCCAACTAGCCCAAGTCAAGGAGGAGTGAAAATGTACGATATCATATGGATTGTTTTGGATAGATTTGATGCTTTTTAGAAGAGTTTTCGAACGGATCACGTAAAACACTACTGCCAATACTGAGAATATGATCATGAAAAAATCGACCATGTTCCATACTGACTTGAAAAAGCTAAGGCGGCGACGGTGGAAGTTGTAAAACATCATGATGAGGTAATAACACACCATGGCCATGAAAAGGAACTGGCAGATTAAGAAGAACATTTGAGCCCCTGATTCAGTGCTTTGTAAGTCGAGCGTTTCAACCGTTCTTGTTGTGTAAGCAGCACCAGTGGAAAGAACCTCGTAAAAGTACGTGGCAATGCTGAGAAGATTTGTGTTAACGTTGAAAACTGCGAACTCTAATATCACTGCTCGCGTCTGGCGATCAACCCATCCATGACCGAATGTTTCGCCAAGGACACTTCGGCCAGTTTCAACGTCGTATCCCAAGACAGCGACATAGCCACCTCCTTCATATGTATTGTAGGTCCCCATTATCCGACCATTGTCTAGTTCTTCACTTGTGCGATAACGCCAAGGCTTGGGACACAGTTGAAGGGCCTTTGGCCATGAAGTATTGTAAGGGAGTCGTTTCCATCCAGGAAGACTCAGTGTTGTGGTGTCCTCACCTTCACTTGTGTAATCGTAGAGGCAGTCTGGGAAAAGCGCTGCTAATGATTTGCAAGAACCTAAAATTAAAATATACAACAGTTTTTCTATCATTTTTTTAGCATTATATTTGACTGGCCTAAGACAACTGAATAGATCGTTTTCACATAACGACACGGCGACCATATTTGTGTAAAAAACAACGAAATGGCGGTCACGTTACTTTAGTTGCATTCCTTTTAGCCAAACTTTTTTCGGATTTAGACAATCCAGATTGTTTAGATTTCCTGCTAGCCGGAACAAAAGTCTGAAATAAGATTGATCCATACAGTAGCTACCTGCTGCTCTGATCTTCTTCTCAATTTCAACACATCGTTTATTTTTTTCCGCTAAATTAAGCGTCTTCTCGTCGAAAAATGGAAAGAAAAATTGCTCTTTAACTAGTGGTGGTTCATACTGGGACTCGTAAACTTAAAATTATCTGGAATTACGAATTCTCAAGTGCTGAGAAGCGCGTTCTAAACACACACACACACATAGACCTTGGACACTGTGGTTTTACGGTGAGAAAATGCAAGCGTTTTGGCCTCCCTATAGATTTTGAGTTACTGGGGAACTTGAGTTTCATATACTACAATCTTTTAGTGGCATAGAACAAAGAAGGAGTGTAAATAACTTTTGTTCGAACTAACCTTGACCCACCGTGTTTATCGATAAACGAGCACGGCCTTGCAATCGAAAAACAGTTTCGTTAAGTGGAATAAATATCTGAAACCAGACTGAGATACCAATCTGAACGATCCAAGTGCGGAAGTGGATCGTTCAGATTGCAACATTACATTGGTTTAGTCCTTAATGGAACGGAAAAAAATTTTGGATCGCAAAATCCAGATTTTGATGGGTCAAAAGGAATGCTACCATTGTCTATCGAAAAAATCCTATATGGGGATTGAACTCTTTTCTTATGTAAAAACTTTTTTGTTCCAAGAAATTTGCATAGCTGCTAACCCACTTGAGTGAAAACGATCTAAAGAGTGTTTCACATGAAGTCACGGCGACCATATTGGTGTCCCAAACTAATCCCGTGGGAATTGCACACTTTTCTTATGAAAGCGCTTTCTTTTGTTCTAATAAATTTGCATGTTCTAATAAATTTCCGCGTGAGTGGAGACCATCTATTTCTCGGCCTTTCCGTAATTTTGACTTTATGGAATGCACGTAATACCTAGTTAACGTATCAATCATTTCAAGGATAACCGAATAGTAAAAAGTGGTTTGTAAAGGAGCGGCATAAAAATCAGCAGTGAAACTGTTCGTTGTCTTCTCCTTTTAGAAAGGTCCTGGTAATTTTGATGTTTTATCATGATATTGCACATAGTTAATAGAGTGGAATAGTTATGAAGCCCCGCAGACTCTTTTACTATATTTTTTCCCAGACTTAAAGGCGCACAACGTCTTCAACTGAATCTCTATCACCCTGATAAAAAAAAAAAGTGGCATTAACTTATTCCGATTGGGCATTTTTCTTGTTTGCCGCCTTTTATAACCAGTTTGCTTAACTAACTTTTGTAGGGCATAAGAAAAAGAATTTTTGTCGATTTAATATTAGGTTTTGCAAATTCCAAATCATAAAGCTTACTCTTTTTGACTCTGAGTTGCCTCATCCATGGCATACCGACCAGTAAGGACACCTTGTTTTCAACATACACATCTTTCTCTTGACGTCCATTGTACCACGGATGGCTGTAAATATTTGGGAGGAACTCTTGTCTCATCCAACCCCATAGTCTGTACCTTCCAGTCACCTGAAATAATAAGAGTGCCGCTGTTTATACAGTCAACCATTGAAAGGACGCCTCTATATGACGGACATCTCTATAGAACGGAAACATAATGCTGGTCCAAAAGGTATGGAATTGACGGTAGTCCAATGAAATGCGATGGTTCTGAAAGAACTGTGCCGAAAATACGACAGAGGGAACGCCAACGCTTAGTTCACGCGGCGACAAAAGTCAGGAAACCTCCTGTAAACGTGACCACCGGAGAAACATGTAACACCGACGTGAAATTTTAAACCGGTACTAAAACTAACGGACGCAGATGCGCAAACATAAACTAAAAAAATTTAATGTAAAACTACATTTGAAAAATCTCATCAATAACTCCTAAAAAAAATACCACATCAGTGATAATCCGTGTCTGTCATTCTGAACAATCATGGATAATTTTTCAGCGTTTAAAATTAAATTGGCACTATCCAATGACAGAAGTCTTTGAATCCAATCTATAAACTCCCAGTTGAAGTTTTACAGATTTGAAGACACAACGTTCGCCTTGTGTTTTAAACTTGATAGCATAAATCAGGTTTTATGTCTAAAAACAACGCTGAAAATTTAAAGTTACAACTAAAATTATTCCAGCTTCTCCCTTATATATGTGACCCTCCACAGGAATTTGATGCTAAAGGTGAAAGCACGCTCACGACACGCTTGCACGACACGCTTAGCGTGCCGTAGATCACGGATATGCGCATATTAAATTGAAAAAACAAAGACGGACACACTTGCCTTTGTTTTGGTAAATTTAACACGCTAGACCTTTTGTTTTTTTGTAGCGTGCCATATGTCACGGTAACTGTGCGAATTATAGCACGCTTAGCGTGCAGTTTGGGTAAGACACGCTGAACACGCTTGATTACTAAAACTGCTGAGATGATAAAAATGGCTTGGGTTTTCAGCGGATTTAATCAGCATTGATAACTGGTCGAAGTGAATCAAATATACCAATTGAGACTGTTTTGGAATTTGATCGTAACACCAATTCCTCCGGCTGTCGGGTGTTGACCGGAATCGCAAAGTTGCCTGCTATCTCATGCGAGGCACTGGAGTTATGTCGCCTGAAAATTATAGTTATCCACCGGAATATTTATTAGCAGTAATGCACAGGAAATGAAGTTGAATAAATTAGTTATATTTCTTTAAGCCATGCTGAGACGAACGAAGGTAATTAAATCGGAGAAACGAAAACTGCCTAGAATTTTCCATAGGTTGAGGAAGGCTAAACATTTCTAGATGACCGTGCCATGCATGTACAATCTTCGAAGCTTATCTAATAAATTCCTTAAGATTTTCTGAAGTTTAATTCTTTCCATTTCACTCCCCAGGTTAAGCTATTTTTCGTAGAGAAAGGAATCCTAAAATTTTCGGAACCGAAAATACGATAAAATTCTCACTTTCCTAAAACTTTAAATTTTTTGGAAACATATTGCTGAAGCCCTTGTAATTTCGAAAAGACTGAAGTTGTCCTAGGATGTATTTAGGAGGAAATCGCCGTTAGCTGCCCCTGACGAACGAAGCGCTATCAAACATAATTTATGTGAAGATATCTCGTTACGCTATGCTAAGACGAATCAAGCGCTGTAAACGTGTACTGTATCTCTCCTGTTCTTCACAGGACACAAAAAGAATCTGTAAACTAAAAACACTGTAGAATACTAGACCCCGTTTCGAGAAACACAGAGGCAAACGTGTTTCCGATAGCGGGTACATCCTGGTAAGCCGGTTTTTCCATGTTTCCGTCGCTGCGTTCACCGGTTTCGCTTTTTGTGTTATTGCCGGCCGGATCAATTAAGCAACATTGAAACCGTTTTGAAATTTTGGTACATCTAGAAAAGCAGGCTGGTTTTCATTTGATCAGTACGATCCTTGCAATCGATAAAAAAAATAAGAAGAAGAAAAATAAATACAATTTAGCGATCCTGGCACTTGATGATTTCTATTTGATAGCGATTGTTACGATCGGCAAGAAAGTGACTTAAGTCCGAAAGATCACTGTTTCTGAGAAAATTGCAAATGTGTTTTAAATTAAGGAAAGTTAAGATAACCTTTGCACAGCTTCGTCAGTAAACATTTCTGGAAAGAGCTTTGATTTTGCAGTGCTAGTATAGTTCTACCCATAAATCCAGTAGGTTCCACCGTTCACTGTTTATACTTTTTAAGCGACAACGTTTTTTCAATCAGATACTATCGCTGCGATCGCTGAGGTATAACTTTTTCTTTCTCGATAGTTACCAAAAAAGGGTGCCGTTCATAATCATTTACGGTTCCTTTTTGTAGAGGAAATTTATTTAGCTTATAGATAACACGCCTTGCGTGCTTTTGCGTACACTGTTGTGCCTTTTCGCACGGAGCTTTTGTTTGAAAACTTTAACACGCTCTTTTGTTCGACTTGCTCACGCTTAATTGTCTCAAGCGTGTCCTCTGAAACAAAAGGTATTGCTAATGAGGCAAGATTGCAAGCGTGCTAAAGCGTGTTAAAATAAATTCTTTTGTTTAAAGTGAAAGCGTGTCGTGAGCGTGCTTTCACCTTTAGCATTAAAATCCTGTGGAGGGTCACATATGACTTCACTAATAAGGCCTTACCGTTTCAAACTTTGCAAAAGGATTCATCAGAGTGGTAGTCATCATAAAGCGATTACTATTCTTATTTCCATAACACACTATCGCCAAGAAAAACACAAATATCAAATGAACAACAATTTCTTTCATCGTGCTCGCCAACTTAAGTTCTTTTATGGCTCGTTCACGCATGACTCCTAACCTTGCGCACTTAAAACGCTGTTTAGGATCATCAGAAAATAGATCTATGTCATTCAAGTTAACATCTTCTTCATTCTCTGTATCAGAATCTTCACTGCCGCCCTTGGTTCTCGTTACAAGCAATGACACCATCACCACGGCCAACATGACCTTTGTCGGCTGTACAATGAAGATGTCCTGACCATTTGAAATCAAAATAGAGGAGAGCCATTGCTCTGCAACTTCTTTGCCCCACATTAAGCTGTAAAATAAAGTGAAGGTTGCTGCAGTAAGAGTTGTAGCAAAACAAAGCAACCATGCTAGGTATACGCAAAAGTGAGGCAACATGCAACCATCGTCTTTTACTCTGTCGATGAGTTCTCGGGCGTGATCCACTTCCCGATATTTGTCTGCTTTTGTATTCCTCGGCTTGCTTGATTTAAAGAGCAAAACAATGACTACATTTACAGGTGCAACTATCAGTCCACTTTGCACACCAACAACGATTTGTCTCAACGAAACCTTGAAGGGTCCAATGTAAATAGCACCCTCTGATTCCCCACCAATGTTATAGAACATAGCATTGGCAATCATGGCGCTGAAGAGAACTGAAAGGCAGCATGAAGCTCTTTGCACACGAGTAAACGAGCTGCTACAGGCCTTGCCAAAGACAGACATCCACAAGTGACTGTCTGCAATTTTTCTGCCGAAACGGCTGCGAACTTGATCTGAGAAGGAACCCAAATTTCCATGCTTTACGGTAGCTTCTGTTAAACCATCACCTTTTTCTACCGCAAGCCATCTGTTTATTGGGAAGGTCCATTGTTCTTCTTTTTGTCTGTCTCGGATTGTCACTGTTTCCACAAACCAAGAAGGGCCGCGCCCTGAGTTGTCATGTTCTAAGGTTATTTCTTTCAACGTTCCCAATGATTCATCAGTGATCAAAACAAATCCGTTTATACCTCCTCGTGCAAACAGATCACTTGACTCGTCTTTCCTACGCAGTGGAATGTGATTGTGCTCATCTAAGTCACCTTTAATACTGATTGTCACGTTTGCTGTTGTACCCGAATTTTTCCAAACGCCTGTGCAAATTACCATGTCGTAATAATAGGTCCCTTCTTCCACAATGGGTACACGCTTTGGAGGGCATATCTAACATGTTGAAGCAAAATTTCGTTATAACATGACGCTGATGTAATCAAATTGAATCTTACTGGCGAGACAAAAACTGTTGATCAAACAAAACTACAAATAGTGTAGGGCGAGAAACGAGTAATTTTAATAGACCCATAGAACCGCCACAGCGTAGCGGATCAAAATATTAAACCTTTTCTCCCACTGAAATAAACGGCGAAACTTGGTTTTAATATTATGTAACCGTGCTAGGTCATGTTCGGTCATGCAACAGTTTAACTTCATCACATGTATATACCAAAGGGTCTGCATACATATGCGTCTTTTCAGTCGCGATCTCCAGTTTCTAAATTTGGGTGATCGCGTTTGCAATTTTAAAAAAGTATGGAGCTATTGGAGGATACGCATTGAGTAATACTCCGCGCCTCGTTGAATGGCCTGGGTACGAGAAATTATAGTTAGACGTGTGTTTTCGAAGGCCACTTTTGGACGGTCGAAAACGATGAGAAAATGATCGGTAAGCGACAACTATTTAGTCTGGACACGGCCTTGGTGTTAACACCGCGACCAAATGCCTGCAGATGAGGCTAGAGTGTCACTAGATACCCTACAGATAGTACATTTATTTTCACACATACCTTGTTTTCATCTCTTTTATCCGCTTTCCTCGCAAAAACTAGTACAACAAAGTAAAGAAGAAACGCACAAGCAATGGTCACCAGTACGGAAATGTTACCACTCCCAGCAAGGTTTGCAAACTCTGAGAAAACTTTGTCAAAGTCTATTGGATTTGGTGCTTGAATAAAGTTACCCCCGAAGGAGGTAAGGTGATTACAACGGCAAATGAGATGGGTGATATTCGACCTGGGATCAACCTACGAAAGAAGACTCAGTTATTAGCAACAATGCAAAGGAGAAGGAAAAAGATTTGGAAGATGAGACAAAAAGAATGTATAGGGAAACGAGTTAGCACTGATTGCCTCATTTTTGCTTCAGGCTCCTCAATGCTGTTCAAAAGCAAACAGTTTGAATGTGTAATGTTAGTAATATGCTATATCGCATCATTGAAAGGCGGAGATAAGTTAAAGGAAGAAGCAATAATATTTTTATTTTTCTTACTTTTGTGCGGTGACATTTTTAAAATTGACAAAATCTGTTAATGTCAAGATTTAAAAATTGAGCAGAATGCTGAACCAAACCCTAGGTTCGCATTTTACAGTTTTATTTAGCTACAATCTTGGACAAAAATTGTTAGGAATTTTGTACTTTCTTTTCCACAGAACGCCTATCCCACGTATTTGGTACCGTTATGGCCCCTCCCCTCGCCCCACCCTGATCATAGTTGTTCATTCGGAATGAGAAATGATCTTATCTTCCCCGCAGCCGTTTTTGTCCCGTCACGCAACGCTCCTCCCCAACAAAAGGCTGCTCAAATTTGAACCTCGTTCCACTTTGGGGAGGAGCGTATTTAACGAGACAAAAACGGCTGTAAGTGAGACTAGTAATATTCCAGCCAGATTTCAACACTATTTTTTTATGGGGGCAGGGGGAGTATTTGTAGTTGTTAGTGTTTTCAAGAACTTTATCTTGAAACTAGACATGGCAATGTCCATTTTCTTAACATTTTTGTCCAAGATTGTAGCACGCGTTTGTAATACTGAGAAGTAACCGTGTACCCACCCTGCCCTCCCTGGGTTCAATCGGGGTTTCCTAGAGCAATAAGGACTCCCAGAGTCCCAAAGATGGTAGGGTGGTCAAGTTAATATTACATCATTTTTTACGAAGAAGAAATTAACCTTGGAGACCCAGGCCGAGGGAAGGGCGAGTGTTTCAAGTGCATAGGCGCGTCAAGAACTTTAGGTTACCTTGCAACCATCAGATATCCACTTGCTCCTATCTTCAGACCAATACAAACAGCTTGATTGAGTAATAGTCATTGTATAGTTAACATCCGTTGAAGGGTTGTACTGCGGAGTAACCGTTTTAGTGAAACCCTTTGGCGGTGGATCTTTGAAGCCAACACAGGAGCGCCTTTGACGACCGTGGCCGAAACAAGATCTTTTTTCTCTGGAGTGTTCACTGGTATTTGTAGCACCCACGAAAAGAATTCCGACATAAAGCAGAGCTCGTTTTGATGGCACCACAATCATAGATGTTTCCTCTGGAAGACAGGACAAGCTGATGTTTTTGCCATCTGGTTGGTTTTCACACATTAATTTAAACTCTTGGGTAAAATTGTGATCGTGATTGTCAACTGTGGGCCTTAATCCAAACTTAACAAACACTTCCGTGACAAAGACACCTATTTCCGTAATACCCATCTTTATGGTCACTGGGACGTCCGCAAGTTCCGCGTAGTAGCTGCGGATGGTCATTTTATTTGGCTTTAAAAAGAAATGTTCAGGTGCATCGCTGTTGGTTGTATTGTTTGTCGGTGACTCTAAAATTGGTATCACTATTACGATGTCTTCTTTAAGGTTCGATACGTTTATTTTTGTCCCATTATTACTTTGAAGTTCGAGGCTGGTTACTGGAGACTGAATCGCATTGCTGCTGTTGTCCCAGGTGTAAGGGTTAAACTTCAATGTCAGCATCTGCGTAAAATAGAAAAATCGTGACTGATGTATATATGTACAGATAGGCCTACAACCGGTTAATTTTTCATCCAATAAAAAAGCAGCCACTTTCCCTGCCTATAATTAGCAGAAAGAGGAAAAACAAATTGCGCCATCATTCCATTTATTCTCTTACGGAACATAGCTGTCGGCCAATGAGGATGCGATATTCAGGTTGACAAGCAAGATTAATTTTACTAATTCATCATAAACATCTTTAAAAGGGCTATATTATGGTAAATTCTACATTTATTGGTCAAAGCTGAGCTGAACTCATCAGTAAGTATGCTCAGTCACCTTTTCCCAAACTTGGAACTCTAAAGAAAGCTATCAAATGACTCTATCAAAGTGAAAATAGTTATCGTTTCAGGGCAGTTTACGAGGAAGAAGTTTAATTCTAAAACGTTGGCCAAACTTTTTCAAGTTGCAATCCGTCTCGATCCCAGCAATTTAAAACCAAAGTCCCACACTTATACACATGTAGCTTAGGTTGGTTTAAGCTCAGGTATAGTAGTAGACTAGTCTTAAATAAAACTGAAACATAATTTCAGGGTTTTCAGTTATTCCAATCTGTTTTTAGGGTTTTAAAGTGGTACCAAAAAAGACCTGGAACGTTTATATGCGCGGTTCTCGAACCATAAATAGGCCGACGTTCTTCAAAGGAACAAAAAGTCCCTTACCTTTGCATTTACGTTATCGGTGCCCATTTCTCCCAGGTTTCTTGGCAGCTGAAACTTTGATGGTCCTTCTTCCATACTAAGTCCATTAACATCCTTTGGAGAGACCTTCTTAAGGGATGAAGCCAGATTTGCAGTTTTAATGATCATACTTTCGGAAGGAACAAGGCGAACAAAAAACCCATCGTTCATAGCATTTAAATTTTTCGAGGCTCTTAGTACGTTCTCCTGCAGTCACAAAAGAAATAAGTTAAAATAGAATCCTGGCTACAAAATGTAACACACAACCTTTAATTGGCTAAAACATTTCCATACATAACAAATCTTAAAGTGTGGCGCTCCGCCGTTAAAAAATGGACATTTAAAAAAAAACTTTTTTTACGGGTCATGGATTTAAATAGCTTCAATTAGCATCAATATTTGAAGTAACTTTCAGAATATCCAGAATAGTACATCTTTGTCAGATTTATTTGGCACATATTGTGAAAGGGCTCCATAGAGAGGCTTTCAAGCAAACAATAATAGAATGCCTGAGCAGAGGACTGGGGTTGGGGGCTCCTCACGGTGAACACTAACGATTCAGGTTTCGATATGGTAACTTTAGTCCTGAACTTCCTTTGACAGATTCGTGGAAGTCTTGAATTCAACGTTTTTTCAATATAGCTTCAAATTTGACAACGTAGCATGGAAATTTAAAAAAAAAATTAGGAAATAATTGAGTGTCCACACTAACGGGAACGTTGTATTTTCTAACATTCTCAACCTTATCACGTGCCATAGCTTTCGCTGCTGCTCCGTTCGTTCGGCCGGATGCAGATTGTAGTACATTGTTAAGGCAGCTTGTGACACTCGTTGCTGCTTCATCTAACTCAGCACTGAAAGGCTGCTCTAGGTCATTTAGAGCCGACAAAAGTAGGCCGGTTGTTTTCACTGTCAGTTCTGTTACTTTATTCTGAAATAATAAATATTTATTAGTTCAACGAATTACGATTTTGCCACGTTGTTGGTTCAGAAAGACAAAGAAGGAAAACTAAGATTTTAAAAAGGATTGGATTAAACTGATTGGATGCGTGATCAAAGGATACACTTCTGCAGCGATAAACTTTTAATTTATGAAAGTGTTCACTGTTTTCTATATGAATAAAGTTACCCCCGAAGGAGGTAAGGTGATTACAACGGCAAATGAGATGGGTGATATTCGACCTGGGATCAACCTACGAAAGAAGACTCAGTTATTAGCAACAATGCAAAGGAGAAGGAAAAAGATTTGGAAGATGAGACAAAAAGAATGTATAGGGAAACGAGTTAGCACTGATTGCCTCATTTTTGCTTCAGGCTCCTCAATGCTGTTCAAAAGCAAACAGTTTGAATGTGCAATGTTAGAAATATGCTATATCGCATCATTGAAAGGCGGAGATAAGTTAAAGGAAGAAGCAATAATATTTTTATTTTTCTTACTTTTGTGCGGTGACGTTTTTAAAATTGACAAAATCTGTTAATGTCAAGATTTAAAAATTGAGCAGAATGCTGAACCAAACCCTAGGTTCGCATTTTACAGTTTTATTTAGCTACAATCTTGGACAAAAATTGTTAGGAATTTTGTACTTTCTTTTCCACAGAACGCCTATCTCACGTATTTGGTACCGTTATGGCCCCTCCCCTCGCCCCACCCTGATCATAGTTGTTCATTCGGAATGAGAAATGATCTTATCTTCCCCGCAGCCGTTTTTGTCCCGTCACGCAACGCTCCTCCCCAACAAAAGGCTGCTCAAATTTGAACCTCGTTCCACTTTGGGGAGGAGCGTATTTAACGAGACAAAAACGGCTGTAAGTGAGACTAGTAATATTCCAGCCAGATTTCAACACTATTTTTTTATGGGGGCAGGGGGAGTATTTGTAGTTGTTAGTGTTTTCAAGAACTTTATCTTGAAACTAGACATGGCAATGTCCATTTTCTTAACATTTTTGTCCAAGATTGTAGCACGCGTTTGTAATACTGAGAAGTAACCGTGTACCCACCCTGCCCTCCCTGGGTTCAATCGGGGTTTCCTAGAGCAATAAGGACTCCCAGAGTCCCAAAGATGGTAGGGTGGTCAAGTTAATATTACATCATTTTTTACGAAGAAGAAATTAACCTTGGAGACCCAGGCCGAGGGAAGGGCGAGTGTTTCAAGTGCATAGGCGCGTCAAGAACTTTAGGTTACCTTGCAACCATCAGATATCCACTTGCTCCTATCTTCAGACCAATACAAACAGCTTGATTGAGTAATAGTCATTGTATAGTTAACATCCGTCGAAGGGTTGTACCGCGGAGTAACCGTTTTAGTGAAACCCTTTGGCGGTGGATCTTTGAAGCCAACACAGGAGCGCCTTTGACGACCGTGGCCGAAACAAGATCTTTTTTCTCTGGAGTGTTCACTGGCATTTGTAGCACCCAAGAAAAGAATTCCGACATAAAGCAGAGCTCGTTTTGATGGCACCACAATCATAGATGTTTCCTCTGGAAGACAGGACAAGCTGATGTTTTTGCCATCTGGTTGGTTTTCACACATTAATTTAAACTCTTGGGTAAAATTGTGATCGTGATTGTCAACTGTGGGCCTTAATCCAAACTTAACAAACACTTCCGTGACAAAGACACCTATTTCCGTAATACCCATCTTTATGGTCACTGGGACGTCCGCAAGTTCCGCGTAGTAGCTGCGGATGGTCATTTTATTTGGCTTTAAAAAGAAATGTTCAGGTGCATCGCTGTTGGTTGTATTGTTTGTCGGTGACTCTAAAATTGGTATCACTATTACGATGTCTTCTTTAAGGTTCGATACGTTTATTTTTGTCCCATTATTACTTTGAAGTTCGAGGCTGGTTACTGGAGACTGAATCGCATTGCTGCTGTTGTCCCAGGTGTAAGGGTTAAACTTCAATGTCAGCATCTGCGTAAAATAGAAAAATCGTGACTGATGTATATATGTACAGATAGGCCTACAACCGGTTAATTTTTCATCCAATAAAAAAGCAGCCACTTTCCCTGCCTATAATTAGCAGAAAGAGGAAAAACAAATTGCGCCATCATTCCATTTATTCTCTTACGGAACATAGCTGTCGGCCAATGAGGATGCGATATTCAGGTTGACAAGCAAGATTAATTTTACTAATTCATCATAAACATCTTTAAAAGGGCTATATTATGGTAAATTCTACATTTATTGGTCAAAGCTGAGCTGAACTCATCAGTAAGTATGCTCAGTCACCTTTTCCCAAACTTGGAACTCTAAAGAAAGCTATCAAATGACTCTATCAAAGTGAAAATAGTTATCGTTTCAGGGCAGTTTACGAGGAAGAAGTTTAATTCTAAAACGTTGGCCAAACTTTTTCAAGTTGCAATCCGTCTCGATCCCAGCAATTTAAAACCAAAGTCCCACACTTATACACATGTAGCTTAGGTTGGTTTAAGCTCAGGTATAGTAGTAGACTAGTCTTAAATAAAACTGAAACATAATTTCAGGGTTTTCAGTTATTCCAATCTGTTTTTAGGGTTTTAAAGTGGTACCAAAAAAGACCTGGAACGTTTATATGCGCGGTTCTCGAACCATAAATAGGCCGACGTTCTTCAAAGGAACAAAAAGTCCCTTACCTTTGCATTTACGTTATCGGTGCCCATTTCTCCCAGGTTTCTTGGCAGCTGAAACTTTGATGGTCCTTCTTCCATACTAAGTCCATTAACATCCTTTGGAGAGACCTTCTTAAGGGATGAAGCCAGATTTGCAGTTTTAATGATCATACTTTCGGAAGGAACAAGGCGAACAAAAAACCCATCGTTCATAGCATTTAAATTTTTCGAGGCTCTTAGTACGTTCTCCTGCAGTCACAAAAGAAATAAGTTAAAATAGAATCCTGGCTACAAAATGTAACACACAACCTTTAATTGGCTAAAACATTTCCATACATAACAAATCTTAAAGTGTGGCGCTCCGCCGTTAAAAAATGGACATTTAAAAAAAAACTTTTTTTACGGGTCATGGATTTAAATAGCTTCAATTAGCATCAATATTTGAAGTAACTTTCAGAATATCCAGAATAGTACATCTTTGTCAGATTTATTTGGCACATATTGTGAAAGGGCTCCATAGAGAGGCTTTCAAGCAAACAATAATAGAATGCCTGAGCAGAGGACTGGGGTTGGGGGCTCCTCACGGTGAACACTAACGATTCAGGTTTCGATATGGTAACTTTAGTCCTGAACTTCCTTTGACAGATTCGTGGAAGTCTTGAATTCAACGTTTTTTCAATATAGCTTCAAAT